CTCTAAACCACGGCGCTTCGGATGATGACTCGTTTTGACTTTAGGGTCTGGGTTCGGCGTGTTCAGACCAGCACCCAAATCAAATGTCAGGTCAGGTCAGGTCAGGCTGCACAGGACGGTAAATGCTTTCGCCTATCGAGCGTCCAGATTCTTGCTCCAGTTGGAAACATGGTCTTCCGGAGCTTCGAGTTCTTTTCGACCGTTTGACCGCAGCCGATTTCTTCGTTTCGAACTGTCTCCCTCTGCGGGTCCGTACCTGCAAAGGGAGGTGATTTGAAAATGGGTAGCATTGACACCTACTGTCAATAGCAGGTACCCTACGAGATCTCTGGATACAGGCTCGTCCAGACCCCCTCTAGTTACCTTTTGAACTCGTCGACTTTCCTACAGTCTAGTAGTGAAGATGGTAGCTGATTCCACTCATCTATCACTCCACTCGTGAAGAAGTTACACCTAAGGTTGAGTCGGCTCCTGGGCTTCAGTAAATTCAAATGATGCCCCCTGGTTGACTCGAGCGGTGTTCGGGTAAACAGGCTTTCGGCTTCTAGCCCAGTCAGTCCCTTCATTATTTTGAAGGTTTCAATCATGTCGCATCTCATATGTCTCCTCTCCATGGAGAAAAGCCCTAAGGATTCTACCCTTTCCTTATANTTCCTTATATGACTTACCCCTCATTCCCGCGATCATCCTAGTAGCTAACCGTTGCACCATCTCGAGGCAATTTATATCCTTCTTCATGTAGGGAGACCAAGCCTGCACGCAGTATTCTAACTTCGGCCTAACTATGGACCTATATAGAGGTAGGAAAACCTCAGCCTTGCTTGACGAAATGGCCACCTTGAGCTGGAGAAATTGCCCCCTCGCTTTTTGTGCGGCGGCCAGGCATTGATCACTAGGCTTAATGTCCTCGCGGACCGAAATTCCTAGATAAAACATTCGGTCTACTCGAGCGAAGACCGTTGGTTTGGTGGTCGCAGCCACTCGAACCGGAAGCCCTACGGTATTTAGAACATGACACTTGGTAGCGTTTAGCTCCAAGTCCCACTTCTGTGTCCACCGGACCACCTTGGCCAGATCAGCTTCCAGTTGATCTACCGGCCCTGAGTTCACAAGCTTGACGTCGTCGGCGAAGATGAAGGCAGGAACCGCTAGTTCCTGGACCAAGTCATTTATAAACAGCAGGAAGAGCATCGGGCCTAGCACTGAGCCCTGAGACGCTCCGCGCGATACACTGCTAACGTTTGACAGAGCTTCTCCCACTTGAACTCTATAGGTCCGGTTTATGAGAAAAGCTTCTATCCATCTAATTAGAGCTATTGGGAGATCAAAACCTCTGAGCTTCATTAGTAGGAGTCGGTGATTTACCGAGTCGAAAACTTTCCTGAAGTCCAGGTAGCACACTTCGACTTTATGACCTCCATCTAACTTCCTTGTAACTTCGTCTAAGAAACAAAGAAGGCTGCTCAGACACGACTTCTTTTTGAGAAAGCCGTGCTGGACAGGGCTAATCAACTTATGTTGAGAGACGTGCTCACAGAGAGCATTCCTAACAATGGTTTCAAAGCCCTTACACAGCACGCTGGTCAAACGTACTGGTCCTATCTCCACTGTTGTGGATGGCTACTACTGTGGCTGTCGCCCAATCACTAGGCACCCTCCCAGCCCTAAGGGACTCGTGGTAGAGTGCGGTTATCGCGGGGGCGAGCACTTGAGCCAGTAGCCTGATGACGGCCGGATGTAGCCCGTCGCTGCCGGCAGATTAGTTAACATTCCAGTTCTCCAAAACCTTGAGAACACAGCTAGCTGAGTCTTCCACATCACCCATTGGAGGGGTGTCTAAGCACTTTCGTGGGACCGCGAGCCTATCATCTATTTTATAGACGTTTTCGAAATACCCCTTGAGCGTCTCAGTTTTTAAAATCTGAGACAGACAGCCCACCTTCGGGGTTCTCTCTCTTCGATTGGACATAGCTATAGAACCTCTTGAGTTCCTGGCGCACTCTCTTGGCGATTTCAACCTTGAAAGCCATTTTCGCCTGATTTACTAGCTTGCTAGCATAGTTTCTCGCTTTCTTATATTGTAGCCATCGGTCATGCCCTCGTGTGAGAACAAATGCCTTCCACCTACGAGCCCTTTCCCCTATGGCGCGTTTAACGGCCGGCTTCTACCATTGCGGTTTGTGGGCATCACTCTGAGGCTGCAAGGGGGCATGCCTCTCCGTCAGCTCTATTAGTTGGTGGCGGATTTTCTCCCATCGTTGACCCACGGACGCTTCCGTTCCTTGCGGGAACCATGCTCTGGTCTGAGCATCTCGCCTCAAGTCCTCTATGTTCATTCGCCCGAAATTGCGGCACCATCTGCGGGGTGGCTTTTCCTTCAGGTCTGAGCATCTCGCCTCAAGTCCTCTATGTTCATTCGCCCGAAATTGCGGCACCATCTGTGGGGTGGCTTTTCCCCTCAAGTCCTCTATGTTCATTCGCCCGAAATTGCGGCACCATCTGCGGGGTGGCTTTTCCTTCGCTATGCATGTATCCAGTAACAATACATTGTGGTCGCTTTTACAGAGAGGAACCTCCTTTCTTAGGTTGCTGATCTCACTCTCTTGCCGAATGAGGACTAAATCCAGGGTAGACGGTCTCTGCCCTAGCCAGATGCGCTTTGGTTCTCTCACGTGCTGGTAAAGTGATGCTGCACGGAAGCAGTTCATGAATTCATGTTCTACTTGCTCTAAACCTCGTATTCGTACTGCCATTCTATTCCGGGGAGATTGAAATCCCCCACTATAATCGGCGAGTGCTTCCCCTACTGACTGTGTTAATGAGATTTAGTAGAGCTCGTTCATCCTCCGGTCTAGAGCTTGGTGATCTGTAGACACCTAAGATGCAGAAGTGTCGGCCTCTATTTCTTACAATGCAGCCTAAAGCTTGCACTGTTGATGTTCACAGTGTTAGCTCAGATATTTCCCATTGGATATATTGCCGACGAACTAGCAGCAGGACCCCGCCCGCTCGCCCACCCTCCTTATCCGTTCGATATTGGGTGAATTTCGGAGGGCTAATCGTTCGACTGGTTTTGGATAACCCTGTTTCAGTAAGGATCACAATATTGCAATCCTGGCCCCTAATCCCTAGCTGAACCCATTTGTTTCCAAAGCTACACACATTAGTGTACCACAGTTTCAGGCTCTGTGGCTGGAAAACCGGTGCTTGTAAATGTTGTTCGCTCAACTTTCCAACGCCCTCGAGCGCAAACCCCGAGGGCCAACTACGTTTTTTACCGTAACAATTTGCTCCACATCCTGCATAAAGCAGTTACCCTTCTTTTCGAGGGGCCCTGACCTGGTGGGAGATGACACCATTTCGATAACCGTATCATTGATTATCGAGCCACCGAACACCTATCAAACGTCCCACTTTCCGGGCCGTGTCCCCGGTCCCCTAGTTCGGCCATTTTTGACTCTGGAGTCTGAATAGACCTAGAGGTCGCGATCGGTATCAGCGTCTTATCAGCGACTTTAGCCGGAGTAGGTAATGCTTTCTTAGGGATCGTTTTTACCCCAGTCACTCCACGCGTATTGCTATCTGCTTCGGGTGTGACGCTGAACGGTCGCCCTACCGTCTTAAGTGCCTTAATTGGAACCATTGGAACTGGAATTGGATTCCTATTGAACATAACAGTGGGGCCCTTTGCTCTCTGAACCGTCGGTTTCACACCAGCTTTTGGCTGTTTGCGGGATCCCGCCTTAGTTCCGATCTTCTTCACGAGTTTTGGTCTCGCGGGTACCAACTGTTTCGTCCTCAAAGGAGTTGAGGCAGCAACTGATGCATAGCTCAGCTTGCTTTGGTTTACAGGTGTTTTAGCAACACCCGGTTTCGGAGAAACTTTTTCGAGGGATACCTTGAGAGTCTCTTTTCCGGTGACCTTATTTTTCCCTGTCGCGGCTGCATGACCCTGCTCTGGGGTCTGCTGTGATCCCTGCTTTCGGGTATCAGGTGTGATCTGATACCTGCCCCCAGTGACTCGCTCGATTTTCTCGCAGTTACTGAGCATTAGGTCCCGGACTGCAGGGTTTCCCAACTCCACTAGGATGGGCCTAACCGTTCTTTGCTGCAGGCTGCCTATAGGATCAATCCAGCGGCCGAACCTCTGCACCCTCTTAATAAGAGCATGTGGGGGTAACCCAGCAAGTCTCAAGAGGTCCCGAACCTTTCTATGTTCTATGTTGGTTCGCGCTTTCGCATTCCTAATTCTTGGTTCCTCGTTGTTATAAATGAGGATGTTCCTGTTTGTTCCCATTACCGTTTCGTTCTCTTTTTTGAGATGCGACAATTCCCTCTCTAACGTGATAACTTTCCCTTCTAGCTTCTTTACGATTTTCGTCAGCTCTTCCTGCGAATCCAGTGAGTTCTGGATTTTCACTCCGGTGTTCTCAGGTCAGGTCAGGTTGCACAGGACTGAATATGGTCACAGCCAATGGAGCGTCCAGAATTCCTTCAATGGTATGCTCACAATGTGGGCACCCAGCTGAAATAAGAATGAGAAATAGGATCTCATCTCACCAAGTTGGCGAGTGAATTATTAGACACGAGCATTCTATGCGTGTACCAGTATAAAGGGAAAAGGCATCCTAAACATTTGGCATGCTTACACTCGTCTACACTGCCAATGATGATAATAGTTCCAACCATGGCTTATCGAGTGCAGTCTTAAATACTTGCACAGTTTGGAGGTAGACGAGTTCCTTGGGAAACCGTGTTCAACTGTCGACTATCCTATTGCTGAAAAAGTGCTTCCTCATGTTTAGTCGACACCTCTGCTTCATGAGCTTGAGCTCATGACTCCTAGTGCCGTGTTGGGGAGCTAATGTGAAGAGACTGTCCGCTTCTATCCCCGAAAGTCCCTTCATGATTTTGAAGATTTCTATCAGGTCTCCTCGCAGTCTTCTTCCTTCTAATGAGAAAAGTCCTAGAGCCTCAAGTCTTTCCTCATACGTTTTTTCCCTCTGGCCTCCAAATATTATGGTGGCCAATCCCTGAACTTTCTCTAAACAGGCAGCATCCTTCTTGAATAAGAGTGCCCAAGCCTGTACACATTACTCTATGTGTGGTCTGACTATGGCCTTGTAAACGGGAATGAAGACTTCGGTTCAGTTCGGTTCGGTTCGGTGCCCAGGACAGTGACGGCGGCTTGCCAGGTTGTCCAGTTTATTTCACTGGTGAGCTCTAAGGATCTCCCGGGTGCTGCGACAATAGGATGAAAAGG